TTTTTTACTTCCAGTGTTTCTGGGATGGGCAACTCTTCTTTGTATATCTTCCTGTATCAACTTTTTCTTCCCCTCTTATATATGTCTAAACCTAACTTCTTGTTTATTTACCATTAACCAATCAGGCTGGGCTTTTCTCAAGCTGTTCTGAGCCATCTGTCATGTTTTTTATTGCTATATAAATACATAGTCAGATCAAAATGTAAACTTTAGCACATTCAGCTGTTTAAGATATAAATACAGAGAAATCTTGTGGTTTTGGGTGAAACACCTGGAGCTGAATCAACTGAGACCGTAGTCTAAGACACAGACAGTGACTGTTGAAGCAGTTGGATGTGGGAGATCTTTGAAGACTTTTGGTTTGGGTGTACTTTCCAGCTTTGTTCTGACCTTGTATCATATTGAGGATGGGAAAGTTAATATTTTCCTCTCCACCTTCCATAGCTTGGTTTCTCACAGGTCTCCAGTCTTAACAGCAGGGAAACAGATACAGGGCTCAGGAATTTCCACAGACTGCATTTGCTATTTGAGATGCAGACAGTGTCTCCCAAAGGAGGTGCTGACTGAAAACAAGTATGATCTATTATTTTCTTAACCCACCCATCAGACCCACGCTAATGCATCAGGCATGGAAAAAAGTATGGGTGTTGATCATATGTCCCAGCATTTCTGTCTCTGTTGAAAGCTGAAAATGTTCCTTTTTTTTGTATATTTGATCAGGCCTAATTCCAGTGATTGACTAGACAGAATTTAGGTGCTTTTGTCCAAACTGTGTGATGATGCTGCTCAGCTTCTGCCTAACTTCTTGGGATGAGTAATTTTCAAGAGCACCTCACATTTTGTCTGAAAAGTCTAGAACAATGCCTTGGCACTTTTCTGAATCATTTTCCTGAATGGTCTGAACAATTTGACATCTAAATCAAATCTAAGCTCAATCCAGATCCAGAAAGTAAGCACTCGTCTGCTCTGAGTTTGACATTGTCAGCTCTGCTGCAGTTCTCAAAATGCATCAAAAAAAATTGACAAGAATGGGCTCAGCGCTCCATGAAGTTTTAGACACTTTTAAAACAATGGTAGAGCTGCTTTTGCCATACCATCTAATTAGCCTGGATATCCATAAAAGATGGGGGGAGATACTGTGGGCATTCAACTTTCTGTGTTACCTGAGGTATAAAGTGTTACCTTAGCTGTAAAGCAGAGTACTCATGGGTCTTATGTTCTTTATTTGGTCAATGAAGGGGTTGCTTTTGGATGGCAAAAGCAACCCCTTCACTGAGAAAGTCTCTCTTCTTTTCCTCCATGCTGTGACATCCCAAAGCAAGAATCTCTGCAGCTTGCCTCATAGCTTCAGGGTGAGGGGCACTTTCTTGAAGACATAGACAGTCTTGTGTGGATCTATTCTAGTGAGAGCTTTGCTCCCTTTACAAGACATTACAAACTTGTTCTTAGCCTGGTTAGTCACCTCCTCTTCTCCAGCTCTTGCCTTTGACAGACATGAGAACTTCTGATCCATTCTAAGCCATTTATGGGGTGCTTTCATTTTTTATGGCATTTCAGCGAATCACGCTTCTTAAGATCTGAATGTTTCACAGATCTTTCAGTGTTAAAATGACTGGTCCTTGTGCTATGCTGCCTTGGCTATGTTAAATGAATAAATAGTTCATTTGCTTTCAGTGCATTGACACATACCTCTGCTATTTCTGCTTTCAGCTCTTGTTTGTTAGGCTCTGATTTTAGGAAGACTTCAGCAGTCATACTGTTCTCATCTTCTTTTCCATGCTCTACGTGCTGAAATGGTATCTGCAATCTCTTGCAAAGCTGATAATTCATTCCAATTCTTGCATCATCTTCCAACATCTCTTTGTCTTGACTTGCAGAGTTTATTGTGGAACATCTGCTCTTGCAAACTGTGATTTTGAGATTGAGATTTTTTTTCCTCCTTTTTTTTTTTTTTTTTTTTTTTTTTTTTTTTTAGATGGCAAATAAGAAATTTTTGACACATCCAGATGTTATGTTTTTAGAGTCTGAGGATTTTATCACAGGAACGTAGTCCCCCTCCAAATGGTAAAGTTGACTCTTTCATCTTGGAGTATTCCCAAACTGTGGTTTCAATTTATTTTTGTGTTTGAGCTTTACATGCATAAATGCTTTGTTCTCTTTTGAGAGACACAGCTTCTCCTGCTGCCTTCTGCCATCCAATTCTCATGCAGCACAGTGGGGCCACCTCTTCACCACTGCCTGCAGCCTCCTGATGCTCTGCGGATCCAACATGGGGGCTCGTCCTCACCTCTCACACCCAGTCCCTTCTCCCAGGGTTCTTAGGGCTGCTGGTGCTGCTGCAATGTGACCTCACCTGCTTTTCTGTTTTCGCTTCTCTTCTACCTGTAAAAGTTATTTGTAGCTGGGCCAGGACAAATTGCCACACTAATGATTTTGGACAGTGCCAACACTTTCACTGTGCTTGTTACTTTAAGAAATTAATTACTGAGAAAAATGTAGAATTTGTTAAGAAGCTTTCAGATACTTGATATCTGAGGAGTCTCATTAACTCCTAGAGCATGAAAATAAGGTTCACTCTCAAAAGGAGGGGGTTGGGGTTTTTCTTCTTTCCTCCTTTTCTTTTCTTTTCTTTTCTTTTCTTTTCTTTTCTTTTCTTTTCTTTTCTTTTCTTTTCTTTTCTTTTCTTTTCTTTTCTTTTCTTTTCTTTTCTTTTCTTTTCTTTTCTTTTCTTTTCTTTTCTTTTCTTTTCTTTTCTTTTCTTTTCTTTTCTTTTCTTTTCTTTTCTTTTCTTTTCTTTTCTTTTCTTTTCTTTTCTTTTCTTTTCTTTTCTTTTCTTTTCTTTTCTTTTCTTTTCTTTTCTTTTCTTTTCTTTTCTTTTCTTTTCTTTTCTTTTCTTTTCTTTTCTTTTCTTTTCTTTTCTTTTCTTTTCTTTTCTTTTCTTTTCTTTTCTTTTCTTTTCTTTTCTTTTCTTTTCTTTTCTTTTCTTTTCTTTTCTTTTCTTTTCTTTTCTTTTCTTTTCTTTTCTTTTCTTTTCTTTTCTTTTCTTTTCTTTTCTTTTCTTTTCTTTTCTTTTCTTTTCTTTTCTTTTCTTTTCTTTTCTTTTCTTTTCTTTTCTTTTCTTTTCTTTTCTTTTCTTTTC